GTGAGCCACCACACCCAGCCGAACCTCAGCTTTCTATCTGTCAAAATGGAGACAAGTTATCATCCAGCCTGGGCAGCACAGCAAGACCTCATCTCTTAAAAAAATGGAGACAATTATTTTGGCTTCACAACGATATTTATTCATTCTTTAACTCCCCAAATATTTAAAGTATCTACCATGTGATAGGTATATTAGGAGGTTGTGGGGATACAACAGAAAAGTAAAAACTAGGCTGGGCACGGTGGCTCATGTCTATAATCCCAGCACTTTGGGAGTCCGAGGTGGGTGGATCACTTGAGGTCAGGAGTTCCAGACCAGCCTGGCCAACATGGTGAAACCTTATCGCTACTAAAAAAATTAGCTGAGCGTAGTGGTGGGTGCTTGTAATTCCAGTACTTTGGGAGCCCAAGGCGGGCAGATCACCTGAGGTCAGGAGTTCAGGATCAGAGTGGCCAACATGGTGAAATCTCATCTTTACTAAAAATACAAAAACCAGCTAGGCGTAGTGGTGGGTGCCTGTAGTCCCAGCTACTTGGGAGGCAGAGGCAGGAGAATCACTTGAACCCAGGAGGAGGAGGTTGCAGTGAGCCGAGATCACACCACTGCACTCCAGCCTGGGTGACAAGAATGAAACTCTGTCTAAAAAAAAAACAAAAAACAAACACCACTTCTTACATCAAGAGGAGAGCCTACAGCTTAGTGGGTCAGCAAATGATGATCAAAGGAACTCAACTGTGCCATATGTGATGAAGAGGGGGTCCGTGGTGCTGGGAGAGAATTTATTAGCGGATCTGACTTAGCTGATATAGATGAAGGTCAAGGAAGTTCTAAAGTGATATTTGAGCGTATATGGTGTTAAACAGGCAAAGCAAGGCAGTGGCAAGAGGTGGGAAGGACGCATAGGGCAGTGTTTGAGGCAATGGTAATAGCCTCAGAAAGAGGGGACATGGGCTGGGCACCGTGGCTCACAACTGTAATCCCAGCACTTTGGGAGGGAGAGGCTGATGAATCATGAGGTCAAGAGATCAAGATCAGCCTGGCCAACATGGCAAAACCCCACCTCTACTAAAAATACAAAAATTAGCTTGGTGTGATAGTGCGCTCCTGTGGTCCCAGCTACTCGGGAGGCTGAAGCAAGAGAATTGCTTGAACCCGGGAGGTAGAGGTTGCAGTGAGCTGAGATCATGCCACTGCACTCCAGCCTGGGTGATGATGTGAGACACTGTCTCAAAAAGAAAAAAGAAAAAAGAAAAAAGGGATGTGGTATGTTTAAGAAAGTGCTAGAAGCCAGCATGCTGGCATGTGCCTGTACTCTCAACTACTCAGGAGGCCAAGGTAGGTTGATTGCTTGAGTCCCAGAATTCAAAGCCAGACTGGGCGAAATAGAGATACCCCCATCGGTTAAAGAAGAAAAAAGAGAGCGAGAGAAGAGAAGAAAGAATGGGAGGCCCCTGTGGCCGGGACCTCCGGGAAGAGAGCCAGGCAGAAAGGGGCTGAAGTCTCAGGGGTCCTTCGGTGTGATTTTTATTGTAAAGTCAGTGCAAACCACTGAAACCACCTAAGCAGAGAATCATGGATTTAATTTGCAGTTTGAAAAACTTGTT